CAGCCGTGGCCGCCGCAGCAGCAGCCGCGATCGCCGCAGCAGCAGCCGCTGCCGCCACAGCAGTAGCCGCTGCCGCCGCAGCAGCAGCCACAGCCGCCGCAGCAGGAGCCACTACCAGCGGTCTAGAGGAGGCTGGGACGTTGGAGAGACCCCACAGGCAGCAGCAGGGAGTCCCCAAGGGCATTCGTCGGGGGCTCCCCAGGGGCAGCCACTGAGGGCCCCCCAGGGGCATCTGGTAGGGGCCCCTCAGGGCAACTGGGGACCCCGTGGGCAGTTTAGCCCAGCTGGAGGGTACTGGGGTGCTGGGGCGGGGGACTTCAGCGCGGGTTCGGGAGAGTCAGCAGCAGCAGCAGGAGCAGTTGCTGCTGCTGCTGCTGCTGCTGCTGACTCCGGAGCCCAGCGACAGAGCCAGGGCTGGCGGGGTGCCCCCCGCCGACCAGCGTTGCAGCCGCAGTACTCACAGTACAGATTTCACCAGCAGCTGCATCCGCAGCAGCATCAACAGCACTGGGCTCAGCAGCACCACCTAGCGCAGCAGCAGCACTTGAGACACCCCTCGCCGCCGCAGAGGGCATATGGGTGGGCCCGCAGCGGGCCGTCTGCTGCGGCCGCAGCTACCGTGGGCGTCGCGGGAGGGCCTGCAGCAGCAGCAGCAGCATCAGCAGCAGCAGAAGACCCGCAGGAAACAGCGCACGTGTGGGGCTCAGCCGCTGCTTCGGAGATCCGGGCCCTTGCAGAAAAAGCAGATCTTTCGCTTCCTGCTGCTGACCCCGACAACCCCTGGGGAGATAGCCGGGAGGTGGAGCTGCAGCGGTTGGAGGCGTGGGGCCGTGCTGCTGTTGCTGTTGCAGTGCAGCGAGGCTTCGGCGGCGCTGCTGCAGCAGAGGCAGCTTTGAACGAGTACAAAAGGGTCTTGCTGCAGCAGAGACAGGCGCTCGCAGCAGCAGGGACGCCGGTCACAGACATTCATCTTTTCACCGAAGGAAGCGCCGGCGAGCAGCAGCAGCAGCAGCAGCAGCAGCAAGACAACAGCACGCTTTACGTTAGAGAGGACCGCAACCTGGAGTCCCCAAAAGACTCCAGCTTGCCGAGTCCGTCGGCTGCAACAGCAGCCGCAGCAGCAGGACAAGACACACAAGAATCGAACTCAGTAGAAGCTGCAGCGGCAGCAGCAGCAACTGCAGACGTTGCCAAGCAGGGGGAAATCAAAGGCCCTACTGCTGCTGCTGCTGAGCAAGATGCTGCAGCAGCAGCAGGAGGCACAGCGGAAGATAGTAGCAGCGCAGCGGCGGACGCTGCACCACAGCAGGGCGAGGCGCCCACTGATGATGATGCACCTGCTGCTGCTGCTGCTACTGCAGCAGGAACCGCAGCCGCTGCAGCAGCGGCGATCGCCCCTCCCGAGGTAATAGAGTCGGTCGAGGGCGCTGCCGAGGCGCAGCATAGAAGCAGTGAAGACAGCAAAAGGGAAGCAGACTGCGACGCGACAGCAGCAGCAACGGCAGCGGCAGCAGCAGCTGCAGCGCCTGCCACTGTACCCGCAGCTGCAGAAGCAGCAAAACTCAAAGGTGCAATAGCAGCCAAAGCAGCAGCACATGAAGTAAGTGGAGACCGAGGCGCGAGAGGCAAGGAAGACGTTGATGCTGCCAGCCCAGCAGCTGCTGCCAATGCTACTGCTGCTGCGCCTGCTGCTGCAGCCTCAGAAACACAGGAGGAGTCACCGTGTTGCACCAATGAGAAGCCGCAGCAGAAGCAGCAAACAGAGAAAGACGCAGAGGAGCAGCGAGAGGAGGGACAGGCTGTTGGGACAGAGGCTGCAACTGCAGCATCGCAACGGGAGAAGCACGAGCCCAAGGAGCAGCAGGGACCGCGGCAGCAGCCGCAGCAGCAGCAGGTGCAGCAGCAACAAGAAACGCAGAAGGAGCAAGGCAAGCTGCCAGTGGAGCCGCAACAACAGCAGCATTCGGCCAAGCAAGAGCCGCAGAAAAAGGAACAGGAAGACCAGGAGAAGCAAGGGGAACATGAACAGGAACAAGCCCAAAAGCAGCAGCAACAGCCGCAGCAGCTGGAGCAGCAGCAGCAGGAACCACAGCAGCGAGAACAGCAGCTCGAAGCTGACGAGTCGCAAGCTGGCAAGAAGGCGAAGTCCCAAAGGGCGGCAGCGGCAAAGCCTGGGGGCGGCAGCTGCAGCAAAAAGAAGAACACAAAATCTGGGGAAACTCGGGTCTCTCGCGAGCTGTGGGGTCTGCTGCAGGAAAACTACCAGCCCATAGAGCCGCGCAGAAATGCTGCGCGCAACAGCAGCATGGGCAGCAGCAGCAACAGTAGCAGCTACAAGAGCGGTAGCAGCAGCAGCAGCAGCACACCTTCAACGGCAGGTCGCAGTAGCCAAGCAAAAGGTGAGGCGGCCCAGCGAAGGGGTCAGAAGCAGCAGCAAGTGAAAGTACAGGAAAAGCAGCAGCAGCAGAAACAGCAGCAGAAGCAACAGCAAAGGCCGCAAGAGCAACAGCGAAAGCAGCAGGAGCAGCAACAGAGCTCACAGCTGCCCACGGCAGAGAGAGAAGAAACGGCTAGCGAACGGGTTCCCGCTGATGCAGCAGCTGCGACAAAAGCGGAACCTGAAGACGCAGCAGCAGCAACGGAGAAGCAGACGCAGCAGAAGAAAGAAGCTGAAGCAACGGCATCTGCAGCACCAGCAGACCAAACGGCGGCCGGGGCATCGCCGCCGGAGACGCCGTTAGCTACGGCAGCAGCAGCAACAGAAACAGCAGAGTCTGCGGCTCCTCTCAAGAGCTCTGAGACTGCAAACGCGACAAGTCTGCTCTTTCGTTGTTACTGCTGCTGTTGCTGCTGCTGTATGTGTGACGATTACGGCGGCTGCCTCTGCTTGTGTCGCTACTCGACTGCTGTTGTTGCTGTCGCTGGTCCTTCCTGCTGAAAGTGTGGCTGCTGTTGCATTGCTGCCGCAATCGCTGCTTCTGATGTGCTTGCTGCATGTGCTGCGTCTGCTGCAGCATCAGGGGAGGAAGAGGGATTGGAGTCCTTGCTGGCTGCTGCTGGTATTCGTCTTACGCGCACAATGCTGAAGCAGCTGCAGGAGCCCGCGAATCCTCAGCAGCAGCAACAGGAGCAGCAGCACCAGCAGCAGAGGCAGCAGCAATCTGTACAGCGGGCAGCAAAGCCAGCAACTCAAAAGCCAGCAGCAGCAGCAGCAGCGAAGGAGAAAGAGGCTCCAGAGGACCCTTTTGCTGCCTATGGGCAAAAGCTGGAATTTCGAGAAGACAGGCAAGGTGAGGCAGAGCTGGTCTTCTCCGAGTAAAATTTAGCTATTTGAATGCCTGGAGACGGCTCCTGGCCAGCTGGCTGGCTAACTAGCTAGCTAGCCGAGTACCCCCATAGCTAGCGGGGGATGCCTTTGAATTTGGAACTGATTGGCCTCTTCGTGTTGTTCCTTCCTTCATCTTTATTGGTGCCCTTGCCTGGGTCTGTCTCTCACCTGCGCCGCCGGCTGCTTCCACTTTATATTTGCATTTGGGTGCATTCTAATTGCCTCATTGCTGCTGCTTCGTTGCTTCTTCACTGATTCTTTGCTGTCTTTGTACTGCGTCACTGTATCTCACCACTGCCTCAAAGTTGCCTCATTTCTGCCCCCTTACTGCCTTTCTATTTTCTCCCCACTTCCCATTCATCTCCCCACATTTATGCCACTGTATGCCCCGTATTGCCTCTTCCTCTTGTGTTTATTTTGGCGTTTTTCTCTCGACTTGTCCGTGCTTGCTGCAGTGTTTGCCTACGTGGGCTGCCGCGTGCGAGTGGTGCGGGCGTGGCGGGACCGGCAGAGCCCCGAGAGCTTCGACTGGGCAGAGGGGGTGTTGAAGTACTACTGGCCGAAATACCGGGCTGTCTTTGTGCACTTTTTGCTATCGACGAACAAGCAAGACATCTGCAGCCCCGCTGACGCCCCGCCGCTGCACCTCGCCGCCCACCAGCTGCCCTTTTCCCCTGAGGAAAGTCACCGCGGCTGGTTTTCTCTGGCCCACGACGTCATTCGTCTTGCTTCGTCGGAGCCTGTTTGGTGGCGCCCTGAGGTGGCTGTGCCCCAGCAGCTGCCTCGAGACAAACTGCAGCACCCCAGAGGCGCCAGCTGCCCCACGCAGCAGCAGCAGCAAGAGCTGCTGCAGCACGCAGACGCAGATGGGGGCCAAGAGACCCAGCAGGGCGACAGCCAATACACGCAACAGAAAAAGGCAGCAGCAGATTCCCCGTGGCAGTCGTTGCCGCCCCAGGAAGCTAGGAACTCTGCTCCCACCGACGCAGGAAGCGGAGATGGCAAGAATAGCGGCCAAAGTAGCAGCAGCAGAGCCCAGAGATGCCGAAGCTGCAGCAAACCAGTTTACTATATTATGACCCCGAGCCAGCCCGTGGAGGTGCCGCCTGAGGTCGACCCCAGGGAGCTCCTGAAGAGCTACCCTTCCTGGGCCGAGCCCAGTAGTGCAGCGAAAGCAGCAGTAGCAGCAGCAGCAGCTGCAGGGCCAGCACCGGCAGACGCACAAGGGGAAATGGCAGCAACAGGCAGCAGCAAAAGTAACAGTACTAGCAGCAGCAACGGAAACGCAAACAGCGCCGCACCCTCTTCTCTAGGAGACACAGATACTGCAGAAGCCGTCAACCTGTACTGGGGTTTGCAGTGCTGCTGCTGTCAGCGCGTCTTCCACACGGCCTGCATTCGGCCGGCCCATAGGCGCATTGCCACTGGCGGGTGCGCTTGGGGGCTGTAGGATTTAGGGTTTAGGGTTTGGAGTGAGCACTGCAGGATAGTAAGACGGCGGTTAGCAGATGCTGCAGCTGCTGCTTGACCCGGCTGCAGTTGTTGCTGAAGTCAGCTTTTGTTGCTGGTGCGGCTTCAGGCTTTTGCTCCCTGTGTTTCTGCCGCTGTTGCTGCTCAGGATGTCGCCGCATGCCTTGTGTATGGAAGCTGCGCGGCACCGTAAGCTGGTGGCGGAGCGAGAGGCGGCCATAGAGCGCCACAAGAAAGAGAGAGAAGCTGCGGCGGAGGGCAGCAACAGAAGAAGCACCAGCAGCAGCAGAGACAGCAAGTATTACCGCTATGAAGCCGTGTCCTCCCCGGCAGCTGACCAGCAGCAGCAGCAACAGGACTTGCTCGAAGACGGGGGATCGCTGGGGTCGCTGCTGCTGCAGCAGCAACCCGAGGAGGGTGCAGATGACGCAGGTGAGTTGCTTCAGCGCGTGTTGCATTTCCCTCCCCGTGAAACGTTTGTTCCTCTGCTGCTGCAGCCGCTGCTGCTGCTGCCATGTGCTGCTTTTGTCCGCTGCAGCAAGTGGCTGGCCGCTGTCCCCCAGCAGCGTTGTTTACGACCGGGCACGCAAGGCATATCTGAGCACTTTCGTGGTGCCCTCTCGTGCTGTGTCTTTGCCGGTGGGGCTGTCTGCTGCTGCCCGAGCGGGTTTGCTGCTGGGGTTCAAGAGACAGCAAGAGGCCCGCGCGCTGCGGCGCTCCTTCTCTCTGGCCCGCTTCTGCACTCTGCCGCTGGCCTTCGCAAGGGCCCAGTCCGCCCTTTTATCTCGCCAGGGTTCTCTTCACTGGAGGCTTTCGAGACACCCTGGCGATGAAATCGGCACGGAAGACGTGCCCGCGCCGGCTGTCACAGTCACTGCCAAGCAGCAGCAGCAACAGCAGCACAACCAGCAGCAGCAGCAGCAAGAAGTACAACTGCATCAGCAGGCAAAACAGGGCGAAGAGCAGCAGCAGATGCAGCAGGAACAGCAAGAAGCCAGCCAGCAACACGAGCTTGCACCGGCCGAGCAGCAGAGGGACGGCGAGGAAAGCATGCTAGTTGACTCTGAGCTTTTGGAAGCCCCGAAGCAACAAAAGGGTCAGCAAGAACAGCAGCAGCGGGAGGAGGGGGAGCAGCAGCTAGAGGAGAGGAAGCAGCACGGAGAAGAGGAACGACAAGAACAGCAGCTAGCCGTTCGAATGGAAGAGGAGCCAGAGAACCCGCCGCATCCTGCCGAGCAGGAGCAGCAGCAAGAGGAACGGCAGCAAGAGCGGCAGCAGCAAGAGCAGCAGCAGCAAGAGCAGCAGCAGCTGTCGCCGCGGCCGGAGCAGCAGCAATCTGAAGAGAATGCAGCAAACGCCACAGCGTCCAGGGCCACGCTAAAAGTGCAGCTGTTTCCAAATCCCCGAAGCATTTTGGGGCTGGAGGAGGGCGGGCGAAATGACCGGGGTGTACGTACTCCCTGGGTGTGCAGGGACTGTGCGCACTGTTTATACTGCTGCGAGCCAATAGACTTACCCCTGACTGCCGAAAGAAGCCCTGCTGCGCTAGCTGCAGCAACAGCAGCAAATCGCGCGGCTCCAGGCACTGCCTCCAGCCCGACACAGTATGAGGCCACCTGCCAGCCGGTCCTGAACTGCCACTGCTGCAATTCTTACGCCCACGGCGCTTGCTGCTACCCCAGTGTACGTGATCGCGAGGGCGATGCTGCTGCTTCTCCAGCAGCTCCGGCTGAACGACGCGTCTGTCCCGGACCCAGTTTCCTCCACAGGGGCTATTTGAATGTGTTTCTTTTGCTCATTTCATATTTCTGTTTGTCCGTTTGTGCCAGCAGCTGTGTCTCACCATGCCTGTGCAGCCCATAGTGTCTGAGTGCCTGCAGTTGTATCAGCTGTTGCTGTGGCTGCTGTTGGATCCGTGCGCTGCAGGCCGCCATCTTGCATGGCTCTTCGTCTTACCGCTGCGACTCTTGCAGGCGCTGCACTAGCTGCGGCTACGTGGACCTCTACTGGCCAGAGTATGCAAACTGGGATCCCACGTCTTTCCTGCTTTGTGCGCAGTAAGCTTGACTTTAGGGTTAGGGTATGGGACCCCCGATTCAGGGTTTAGTCTTCAGTGTTTAGGGCTTCGGGTTCAGCTGATAAGATGTGAAACAAGATATTCAATCACGGATAGCGGCGTCGTGGGGTGTTCGTGCACCCTAGAGCCGTGAGCAACAGCAGCAACAATCATTCTTGGTAGAAGCATCCACGCGGCAACAGCAGCAGCAGCACCACCAGCAGGAACTGCAGCAGCAGTGGCTGAGAATCTCTGTGCCCGCAGCTGTCGCCGGAGCGTGGACGAGGGCCAGTTCTGCTTCATGTGCTCCAAAACATGGGTGGCCGATGGAGCAGGAGGAGAGGATTTGTCAGCAGGCAGTGCGGGGGCAACGGGGCCGGGGGGAGGCTCTGTAGAAACTTGGGTGCAGTGTGATGGCTGCAAGGCCTGGATCCACACCCGCTGCGACCCCCGACTGGCGAAGGGTTTGCAGGATCCCCAGCAGCTGAAGACCATGAAATACAGGTACATCATGCTTCCGCTGCTGCTGTAGCTGTTGCTATCGCTGCTGCTGTTGCTGATGCGTGCACCTGGGCAGCATAATGCATGGGTTCAGGAGGCCGATTCGGGTTGCTTAAGGCCAGAGCTGTTTTTCTAAGTGCCTGCAGCCTGTTCCGGAAGCGCTGCGTCTTACATTGGGGAAATGCTGCTGCTCCTGCTGCTGCTGCCGTTGCTGCTGCTGCCGTGCATCTATGACTGCGGGATTTGGTCCTGGTGCTGCAGGTGCCCGTCGTGCCGCTCGCCGTCTCGGCGGCAGCGCTATGAGCGCATCGTGGCTGAGTTGATGTCCCAAGACCGCAGTGGAGAGTTTTCGTTTTTGCCAGATGCGACATTTTCGCTGTACTGGCGAGTTGTGCAGCGGCCCATGTGTTTGTCTACAGTGAAATCGAAGGTGCGCAGCAACGCCTACTCCTCCTTAGGATCTTTCTTGAGCGATATTTCCCTCCTGATTCAAAACATGAAGACCCTTTACATGCCCAACACAAGGCAGTACAAGGCGGCGGCTGCTATGCAAAAGAAAGCAAACGAGCTCCTAACGGGCGTCCTCGAACTTCCCCACAAGGAGCCGCTGGCCCTTCTGGACTCACACATACCTCCGAGTCCCAGCAGCAGCAGCAGCAGCAGCAACACGGGTACCAGTGAAAAGGCTCGAGAACCGAACCAGACCCCTACTGAGGAGGAGCGAGGCATAGCAAAAAGCGAGTTTCATGGGGCAGCAGCGGATTCAGGCTCAGCTGCAGCAGCAGCTGCTGCTGCAACAGATGACGGGCTCGAGTCTGCGGTGGACAAAGTGGGACACCAAGCAAAGGTTGCCGCCGGCCTTCGCCGCGGCAGCGCGAAGGGATTCACGAGAAGCAGAGACACTCCGCCTTATGGATTATCAGCAGCAGCTGCTGCTGATTCCCCACTCGATCCGGCAGCAGTGGCGTTCACGACGCAGCAGCTGCTGCAGCTTCACTCTGCTGCTGCTGTTAAGGGGATACGGCAACTTCTGCGCAATCAGCAGCCACACTTTCCCTGCGGCTTTTCGCTTTCTCCTTTATCAGCTGTCCCTTGCTTTGGACCGCCTCCTGCTCTACAGTGGTGTTTCAGCAGCAGCAGTAGCAGCAGCACGGAACTTGGCGATATGGTGATGCCGCATTCATTCCTTTCTATCCCGCAGCCTCCGCCACCCCCACCCGGTCAGGCAATTTATTTGCTGCAGCTGCCTGTACGCGTGAGTAGGCTAGCAGCTGCTTCTGTCTCAGAAGTGCCTCAGCAGCAGCAGGAGCACCTGCAGCAGCAGCAGTCGCAACAGCCGTCACATAGCATGAGCGTGGAGACACGGCGCAGCGCGGCAGCTCAGAGGAAGAAGCGAAAGAAGGACTTTGATCCTCAGCAGCAGCAGCAACAACTTCAGAAGCGCGCATTTTCAGCAGCCATAGCAACTGCAACAGCACCGGCGGCCACTGGTGCACCGGCAGCGGGAGATCTGGGAGCGGCCGTATCTGCAACTGGCGCGCTTCAGGTGTACAAGGGAAGGCTGCCGTCTTGCGTTGCTGTCTTCTCAGCAGCATCGGATGTGGCCTTATATTTGCAGGCTTTTCACTGTCTTTATGGGGCTTCAGGCAAAGAAACGGCGTTCGCTGATGGTCTTGCTGCTGAAGGAGATAAAGCAGTAGCGCCACAACTGTGGCTGGATTGCTGCAGTATTTGCGGATCCTTCGCGTACCAGCAGCTGCTCCTACACTGCCGCTGCTGCGGCGAGGCCTTCCATTCGTATTGCTTGGGAGTTTCGCCTCCAGGGGCCCTTGATAAGAAGAAAGCGGCGTTGGCGTCTCTCTGCGGCAGCGGCAGCAGCAACGGCAGCAGCAGCGGAGAAATGGACTTTCTCTTGACGACAGCTGAGTGTCCTGCGTGTTTGTCTTGCGTCTCTTGTGGAAATGCTGCTCCTTGTTTTTCCCTGTGGGACCCACGAAACATACGAGACAGAGCAGCAGCAGCTGCTGCTGGGATGCTGCCCCACGAGCAGCGACAGCAGCTACAAAGGCGCAAACCACGCTGGCAGTCTGACCCAGCAGCAGGGACTGCCACTGCTGCTGCTGCCTCTACAGCTGCTGATCGCATGCTGGACATTTGCTTCTGCAGCGACTGCGGAGCTGCGGCGCACAGCCGCTGCCTCTACAGGGTAGAGGAGGTAGTAACAAAACAAGAAGTGCTGTATTGCCCGCAACAGGGGCTACTGCACCACCGAAAGGGCTTCCTGCAGCACCAAGGACTGTGGACAGGACTGCCAGTGGCTCGCGAACAGCTGCAGGTACCTCCTGCCGCTGCTGCTACTTTGAAGAGAGACGCAAAGGTGTTACGAAACCCAAAACAGCAGCAACACAAAATGACTCGGGCGATGGCGCCAGCCTCGGCTTCCGTCGCCAATGCTGTTGCTACTGCAGCAACTGCAGCAGCTACTTCGACGTCGGCTCCAGATATTTTGCAGCACAAAACGGTGGCAGGGACTGTCGCGCGGAGTGCTCTGCAGCCACAGCAGCAGCTGGTCAATCAACAGCAGCTGCAGCGGCTGCTGCAACAGCAGCCGCCGCATACGCTGTTACAACAGCAGTCACAAAATTATTTTCGGCAGCAGCAGCTGCTAGCACCTTCGCAACAATTCCCATCTCAGCAGCAGCTGCAACAGCAGTACCGTATGCAGCAGACCGCGCAGCAGCAGCAGCCGCAGCAGCATCAGCAACTGCAGCAGCTTATTCAGGAAAGAATGAACAGTCTGCAACGGCAGCTTGATGGTGTGGCTAGACAGCAGCAGCAACAACGGCAGCACTTGCGGCAGCAACAGCAGCCCATGCTGCAGACGCAACAACGCCACCAGGCCGAAAATCATCTGGAGCAGCAGCAGGCCTTTCAAAACCAACAAACAGGACAGCAGCAGCAGGAGGCGGAGCAGTGCTTAATGCTGCTTAGGACGACCATGCTGCAAACGCAACAAAAGCCGCCGCAACAGACTTCCCAAATGGCACTGCTGCAGCAGCAGCACCACCAACGGCAGCAACAGCAAGCACTGCAGCAGCTCCACGCACAGCAGCAGCAGTTGTCCAACAGGAGTGCGCTTCAGCAAGAAAGAGCGACTGATGGCAGCACTTCTGCAGAAGGCACAGCAAAGGCTAGTTCAGCAATTCAGCAGCAGCTTCTGCAGCAAGAGCAACACTTTCAGTTACAGCAACAGCAAATGCAGCTACAGCAACAGCAAGTCAGGTTGCAGTTGCAGCTGGAGAAGCTCCGGGGGACACAGTCATCACCTGCAACAGCACATGGGAATGCAAGCAGCCATACGCCATCTTCTGCTGCTGCTCAGGCAGCAGCTGTAGTTGCTGAAGCTGCTGCTGCAGCAACGGAAGCAGCAGCTGCTGCAGCAGAAGCAGTGTCTGCTGCGATTGCTGCGCCACAGCTAGGTGGCGCCTCATGTGCTGCTACGCCCACGAGGGCGCTGCCCTCAAAAGCAGCAGAATTGGCAGAATCACTATTGAGCGCAGCACCTTCGGAAGCTTCAGCAGGCGAGGAAGTAACAGCACCAGCAGCAGCTGCAACGGCTACGTCGTCTGCAGCATCTCCTCAAACACCTGTTGAAGCGACAGAGCCATGCGACGTCGCAGATCAGCCGAAGCCGCAGCAACAACTGGCAGCAGATCCTTGCCACCAGCAACAGCCCCCGTCTCAATTCCCGCAAAATCATGCCCAGCAAAACGAATCCTCCCCACAGTCATTGGTGTGGGCTGGATCGACTGTGCCAGCGCAGCAGCAGCAGCAACATCAGCAGCAGAGGTCCTTGATCTCCCCTCTGCTTGGCACTGGCAGTTCAATTGCAAGCAGCGCTTATAGTGCTGACTCTGCTGTGCTGAAGCAGCAGCTGTTACAACGCCAGTCTGCCCTAATCTTGAGAAACGAGCAGCTGATCCAAGCGCTGCAGGGGCAAGCGGGATTTCGCATACTTCCTCCTGCTGCAGCACCTTCTGCTGCTGTGCCGCTACCTGCCAGTGTGGTGCAGCAGCAGCATTCTCGCCTGTTTCAACTGCAGCAGGAGCAGCTGCCAGCAGCTCCAAGACAACTAGTATCGCCCGGTGCTGCGTTGTCGTTCGACAGCTTCGATGCCAGAGCCGGCGACCCCCGACAACAGCAGCAACAGCCACAGCAGCAGCAGCAGGTGAGCCAACAACTTTCTTCGCAACCTCTGAAGCAACAGTTCCTACAGCGGCCCTTGCTCCAGCAGCAGCTGCTACAGGAACCACAGCACCACATCCCTGGGGCTTCTCCACTGCTTCAACAGCAACTGTTGCAGCAAGTGTCCCGACAGCCTCGCGCTTCCCCTAGTAGCATTGTTTTGTCTCCTCTGCAGCAGCAGCAGCGCTTGCGGATGGGCGCTTGGGGCATGTCTCGGGACTCTGTTGGCACACCTCATGGGCACGTTTCAACGCTGCATCTGCAGCCGCAACAAGTGCAGCAGCAGCAGCAGCTGCAGCAGCAGCAAATGGTTGTGAGGGTGGAGAGCTGCGCCTGGCAGCGCTGTGGTAGACTCTCACTATTGTGCGGGGACTGCAGCAGCAATGGCGTGCCGGCTCCTTTGGCCTTACGCGCTGCTCTGCAGCCACTCCAGCAGCAGCTACTGCTGGCGCCTGCGGCAGGCGGGTCTGGCCAGCAGCAGCGGTCTCGCGATGCTAGCTCCGGTGCCCCTTCAGGACAGCAAAACGATGGCGCAGCAGCAGCAGCAGGAGCAGCAGATGCAGCGGGCCTGCGAGGGCTAGCAGGACCAGCAAGCACAGCACGGGCAGCGGATGAGAGAGTTGGGGATGGGGGCAGCAGCCGAGGTGTAGTGACAGTGTGCGCCCTTTGTGGATCACTAACGAAGCGTCTGCCTGCTGCAGCGGGAGGGGCAAGAGCCCTTGCAGCTCGTTTCTCAGGGAGCGGTAGCAGCAATACGAGCAAAAAGCGGCTCCCTGTATTTGTGCTAGATGGGCTCGAAGGTCTCTGCGTCTCCTGCGCGGCACTCGCAGATGAACCGCTACCAAGTGCAGTAACCACGAATGCAGCAGCAGCAGCAGCAGGGAAAGGCTGCACTGCTTCTCCATCTCCCCTGCTGAGGCAGCCAGGGGCACTATCGCAGCTGCTTTCTCGGGCCCAGGCGGCATCATCAGTTTACTCGCAGCTTCATGCGCTGCTCGAGCAGACGCTTCTACCTCTGATGGATTCCCCGCAGGACAGCAACAGCAACTCTGCGGGGCAGTTGGCCAGCGGTTCTGTAGCGGCAGCAACAGCAGGCCGGCACCAGCTGCAGCAGACAGAGCTCCGACTCGCCATAGCGGAACTCACCGGGCACCTGCTGCGAGCTGTACAATGGGGGGAGCCCTCTTGTCAACAGCATCAGAAGCAGCAGCAGCAACACAAGCAGCAACAAAATGAGGACTATCACAAGTTAGCTCTGGAATTGTTCTTGTTGCTGCAGACCTCCGTCAACCTACCGGCAGTATTGTCTACATTCATATCATCTGTTTTGTTGCAATGGCGGCCTCAGTCAAAGAATGAAGAGAAGCAGCGGGACCCGCGGGTAGGCCTGGGTAGCCGCTGCTGCAGCAAGACGCGACTAAAGTGTTTTACAGTCTTTTGCTGCCAGCACACCACCCAAGCGAGTCAGAGACGGCATGCCAGGCAATATTAAACGGTAAATTTGTTTAGCTTGTGTCTGCCATGCGGTTTAGGTGCTCCTGACGTTGTCGCAAGCTTGTGAGCGACTGGCTATGCAGCGGCGTCTTGGTTCAGATGCTGCTGCTCCCGCTACTGCCATTGCTGCTGTTCCCCTTGCTGCTCCTGGCGTCGTTGCTGCTGCCGCTGCTGCCTCAGGAGGCTTTCCCCCTTGCGCCCCTGAATGGCGGGAGCTACGAGCTGTGCGGCGGCAGCTCTTCTGCAGACTTCACCGCGCCGTCTGCTGCATGGAGCGCAGGAGCAGTGGCAAAGACAGTGGGACCCAACCAGTTGACGCAGCAGCGATTCCATCTGTTCTCGTTCGTCTGCTTGCGCTGCGACTTCGCAATGGAGACCCTCGCGTCTGCGGCTGCGGCAGCTGCAGCAGCAGCAGTTTGCTCTCTGCTTCTTGCAAAATTGCAGAACGGGACGGACGCTGCTGCGTGCTATGTGGGCAAACGGGCGACAGAGTAGTGTCCGGGGCTCTGCTGCCGCTGCTGGACTCTTGGGTCCACGCTGGCTGTTGCGCCTGGGGCGTTTACTCATGCACTGTTGTCCCGCTGCTATCCCCAGAGCTGCTGCAACTCGCCGACCCGATCGGTGCGTCGCGTGAAGTTCGGCAAGTGCAAAATTCGCAGGGGGCTGAGGGGCCTTCTCCTTTCGTGCCCAGCATAGTACCAGGAGCAGAGAAAGCAGCAGTAACCAGTCTCCACCCAAGCAGCAGCAGCAACCGAAACAGTAAAGGGCTAGTACGATCATTCGCGGCTCTTCCAGAACAGCTGCCTCCTTTGGAATGTTCTGCTGATGCAGTTTTGCTTGCTGCGGCGGCTGCACGCAGTGCCCGCTGCGTTGCCTGCGGGTGCAGTGGAGCCTTCGTCGCGTGCGCAGGTTCGCAGCAGGCATCAGAAGAGCGCTCTTGCAATGCCCGTTACCACCTCACGTGTTTGCTGCTAGCAGCAGTTGGGAAACCGCCCCTGGAGCAGAAGCAATATGTGCAGCAAGAGCAATCTGCAAGAAGTCCTCGACCCCGGGTCTTCGCTACGCTACGTCGCTTTTGGTGTCAGGATTGCTGCGAAGAAGGGCATGCTGCTGCTGCAGCTACTGCTGCTGCTGCAACAGCACCTACGGCATTCGACAGTCCAGTGGAGCCCGAAGCTCGTATGTGCCAACCCGAAGCAGCAACGTTTACAACATTGGACAGTGCAGCAGTACAGGACCCGCTTTTTGTTTTTCTTGAGGGGGTGGGTGGTGGCGCTGCAGCGGTTTTGCTGCGGCTGCTACTTCAGAGCGTTCGCATAAAGCCGCCTGTTTTTGCTGCTGCTGCGGCGGCAACAGCAGCAACAGCAGCAATGGCTGACGTGGATACACACCCGCTAGGCGCAGCACTGAAGCAGCTTCCAGCATCAGCTGCAGTAGAAGAAGACGCAGCAGCTGATGAAACCGGCACTGCTGCGTCTGAGACTGTGGCGCTTCTGCAGCAGGTAATGGCAGATGCTCATGCGGCTTTGCGTGATTACTGCACCCTGCTATCTCCTGAGCTGTCTCCATATGTTGGCGGGCGATGCTGTGCTGCTTCTGTGGTTCCCTATTCATTTTCCGACGGAGCCAATGGCTACCATCAGCGGAAGCATGTGGAGAAGCAGCAGCTGAAGTTGCGCGCACCCCCGCCATCTGCGTTGCTGCGATACGGAGGTCTCACGCTGGTTTCTCTTGGTTTGCCTTTGCTCTTCGATGGAAGCCGTGGCAGCCTATTTCCTATTGGGTATTGTGCTACTCGCCGCTTCTGGGGTGTTCAGGTGCCCAGTCATGTGCACCACCCTGCCTGCAACAACAAAGTCGGTACCAGCGAAAACAGCAGCAAGGGCATCGTTGTCAGCGGATTCCTCCAGAGGGCTACGTACCTCTGCAGTATCACAGCGCATCAGAGACGCCCCTACTTTACACTAGACTGCCTCGCAAAGCCTGCCGCCAAACTCGGGGCAGCAGCATCAGAAAGAACAAGTATCACAACAAAGCCAGCAGCAACAGCAACTGACACCAATGTGTGCACTGCCTGCCAGTATGGCTGGCGCGTTGCAGAGGGATTCGATTTGAATGCAGTCGTAGGGACGCTGATGCAGCAGCTGCAGATACAGTTCCAGCAACACCAGCGCCAACCGCCCTCTGTCTCTCCTGTAATTGCAGCCGGCATAGAGGCCTCTGCAACGGAAAGAAGCAACTGCAAAATCAGCAGTAGCCTGGACCCCGATGCCTTGAGTGGGGACACAAAGCGCATAGTTGCTCCTCCTGCCTCCCTCGTTGCAGCCACCCCTGCAAATGAGCCAGCAAACCCGTCGCCTAAACAACAGTCCGCATCGCCGCGGCCACAACAGCAGCTGCCCTCGCAGCAGCAGCCACGGGACGGCCGAGTGGAGGCAAAAGGCCCAAAGCCAGTAGACGTCTCTTCTGTAGATCCCGAGGTCTTCTTTGGTCTGAGATGTCCATATGTTCAGCAACGCCTGAGAGAAGTGACTCCACAGGTGTTGGCGGCTCGTGCGCTGCAGCAGCTGCAGCAGCGAGCATTAGCAAGGCAGCGGAAAAAGAGGTGGGGTGCACGCGCCTTTGAGAGCTTTCGGCTACAGTACATGTCTTAGGTACAAAGATCAGGACTTAAGACCAAAATTCAACCTTTGAATTTGAGACTTTTGATAGGTGTGCTGCGGCTTTGCAGCTGCACTAGTACTGCTTGGGCCGATGGCAACGCTGTTGCTGCGAAGAGAGCGGGCGCCTTCTGTGTGCCGCGAGATCTCCAGTCGTCGGCAGTGCCTGACGCTGTAGAGGGCGAGGAGCTCTTTACTCGCGTGCATTGCAGAGCCAAGGTGAGCTGTTGCTACTATTGCTGGTCCTGTTTCTATCACAAGGGAGTTTGTGCAGCTGGCACGCACAGCTGCATTCGTACGCTTTGCATTTATGCACTTAGGCGATTCCGCGGAGAAATAACTTGAGCGTCGCAGTGTTTCTGCTGGTGCTATTGCTGCGGATTCAGGCGGATGCCGCTGACGCCGCAGCTGCCCTTGCAGCGATGGGCCCCGGCTCGTCCCGGCAATCTTCAGGCCGCCTACGCGCGCAGGGGAAAAGGGGATTCGAGGCGCTGTCCCCAGCTGCCCTCTACAGGCTTCTGCAGAGTGGGGACCAGGAGGTAGGCAGCTGGTGCATATGCTACTGTGCTGCAGCCGCTGCTTTGTCGGTCGCTGCTGCTCTTTCAGAGGCAGCGCACGTTCAACAGGGGCAAAAGCTGTAGCTTGCAGCAAGCTAGTATCAGTAGCCGCAGCGGATGAATAAGATGCCTGTCTTTTGGCCCCGCCAAGCTCTCTGATTTTGGCACCTAATGAAAACTTCGCTGCAATTTGCCTGTTGACAGGAGCGCTTGGCAGTAATGCCTTCTCGAATTCACGGCCTCGGTCTCTTTGCTCTAGTGCCAATAGCTCACGGCGAGGTTAGTCTCTTGTATTTTAATTCGACTCTCCCGCATTTTTATGCAGTGTCTCCTCTTGTTTGGTAGGAGGGCTGAATCGCGGTTGAATTCACGCAGCTGTTGCGTGGCTGTCTCGCATGCAATTTGTGCTTGGTTGACTGTCTGTTGTCTTCAGCCCGTGGTGGAATACGTGGGATCCGTCATTCGGAATGTGTTGAGTGACAAGCTTGAGGTGCTGTACGAGCTGCAGCGAGGTGGCGACGGCTCTTGTTACATGTTCAGGCTAGACGACGCATTTGTGGTGGACGCCACCCGCCGCGGTAGTGCTTCTCGGTTTATAAATCACTCTTGCGCGGTGCGCCCACGGACCCCACGGACGCAGGCAAAAGCGCAAATACAGTGGCGTGGACAGAAACTATATTTTCAGTTCGTTACTCTTTGTGTTCTACGTGCATGCTTTCATTTCCTTTGTACAGTTTACTCTGCTTATCCTTGTCTGTGAGTGTGTCCTTGAGCGTAGCTGGCTGTCGCCGTGTGGAATTCTCGTTCTTATGACAGCTTTCGCTTTCGTCTGTTTGTGTTCGAGCATTTTCATGCCTTATTTAGCTTGCTTCTTTCAGTCTCCCTCGTGGCTCAGTCCCCGACTGTGGCTTCTCATGCGAGTGCAGGCCTCCACCATTTATTCAATGTGCTCGTTTCGGTACACCAGATTTGGTTGAAGCATTATCTGTGTCAAAACGCATTCAGCGTCGGTCGCCTGTGTGTTCATTGCCGCTTCAGCCCAACTGCACTTGTCGCATCGTCGTCTGCGACTCTGGCCACAAACACATCCTCATCATAGCCAAGGAGGACGTCCCCGCAGGAGCAGAAATCACCTACGACTATCAGTTCGGCATTGAGGCTGAAGGAGACAAACTTGTCTGTCTCTGTGGGGCCCCTGGATGTCTAGGCAGGATGAACTAATCCTTCCCAGCCACATCGGGCCTTGCGACGTAGGTAACAGCACCAACAATGGCTTCGCTGATGCAGTTCAAGCTGCGCGCACAGTGGCAGTAAATACCTGCTAGTGCAATGCTGCAGTGCCGAAGTCGCTGTGAAGCCACTGAAAATGTCACTTAAACGATTCTGCCCAAGCAATCACTTCACCATGCTGCTCTGTTACAAGCAGACACTGGTGCCGCTACTAGAGGCCTAGTGCTGCCGCTGCCGCTCACGGCGCACAGCAGCTCGGTGCTGCGCTTCCGACACCTGCTGCTGCAGTCTTTGCTCCTGCTGCAGCAGCAGTTTAGTGGATCATTGTTTGTTAAGGAAAACGTTAAACAAGCTAGGCAGACGGGGTGGAATTGTCAGGAAGTCGAAAATACGCAGCGGCAGTACTGCAGTGCAATAGCAGCAGTGAAATTCCATAGACAGCAACTCTTGATAGAACGACGTCAGAGTCAGTGAACGCTAGGAAGTCCCAGCAACTAAAGAGCTGCGCTAGTCTTGATGCTGCTTTGGTTGCTGTCCAACAGCAGATGCTGCTGGTCTTGCTTTTGCTGCTGTAATTACTTCCCTTGAATGCGCCAGAACAAGAAGTGAAATTCCTAGGGCATTTGTATGAATTGCTCAAAATCCTGAGAGCCACAGCAAAGAGTCGATACCTACGTGCGTGTAGCATCTACGTAGATGCACTGAAGGAGTAGTGCGGAGCGGACGCTGGCCAAGCCGCGGGTATTTCATGGATAAAAGAGGCTAAGAGAATACCGAGCGTGTGTTTGATGCATTGACGCGGAGGCATCATAATTGTTCACTCGTTCATACAGGTATGAGCGCACGCAAACTGACACACAACAAATGAGCAAGCACCCGTATGGTGGGTAACGGACGGGCGTACATACATATGAAAAGGAGCCTACGGACATATCTGCAGGCAGATACATATATATACGTGTGTACAAGATCATGTGCACAGTCGCCAAATACATTATTCACCTCACGCTAACCCAACCTCATCTCAGTTAAGCACTCACTTGAAGAGTCACACGCCCGTCTCCGTCAATATCTCCAGCGCGGAGAATCGCGTGTAGCTGCACATCTGCATGCATCCAAAGACAGCGGCGACAAAGCAGCGACCTGCATGTACGGCTATCCCAAAAGCAGCAGTAGCAGCAGACGCACTGACAGCGGCGGAACAAGAGCAAATGCTGGTGCCTACCTAACGCCTCAGGGTTCTCATGGCTGAGGCTTGTTTCCTTGATGCAAGCTTTCAGGTCACTAAGCCCCAAAACCCCGTCCCCTGAGCGGTCCAACATTCGGAACGCTGCCCTGCAGGTTCAAGAAAAACCGCATGCGCTCCGCACGCAAATTTGGGATTCAAAAAGCAATCCAGACACCACCAGCAGCACCTGCTGCAGCTGCTGCGGCATCTTACGGCGGATAAGACCATACAAACACAATTACACTAGACGGCGCGCAGCCCAGGAAAAACAAGGGCAAAATCTTCAAAGGCAGCAAGCCAATGCAAGGGCAACAGCTTAGGGCCGTGACAGCTCTTGCAGCAGCGGCAACCAAGCAGCGAGAGCAACAGCACCAAAGTCCTCTTGCCCACTTGCGGAGAGAAGGCTGGGAAGCCAAAAGAGATGAATCTAAAGTTGCGGCGAGAAACTCTGAGAGTTCGATCGCCCCGCTGCCATCTCCATCGATCTCGGCTCCAAGCAACAGCAGTTCGAAGTGAAGCAGCAACCAGCGGGACACCCAGGACACCCATGCATCTTCATCCTGCAGCTGCGAATCTTGCTGCTGTTGCTGCACTGCCTCTTCTGTCTGCTGCTGCTCCTCTCCTTGCTGCTGTGTATCTTGCCGCTGTGGATGCTGCTGCTGCCTCTCTTGTTGTTGCTGACCCAGTTGCTGTGGAGGGGCTCCCACGCCAAGTGCAGCTGCTGCCTTGTCCTGGGCTGTGTCTTCCTCAGCTTGGAGACTCAGCTGCCCCAGAATTGCTGCGAGCAGCAGAAGTGACAACATGCCATCTGCAAAATCGCGATAAGACAACAGACCATCTCCGTCTTGATCAAATGACAGAAATAGCAGCTGCAGCAGGCGTCGCTCCCGCAGCAACTCCTCGCCAGCTTCGTTACGGGAACCGCGCAACCTCCCGCTGCTGCTGCTGTTGCTGTGTAGCTCGGATATGCAAGGGCTCGACTTCAAGCAGCGAACTGGGCAGGTGTAGCTGTCCCCGCCATGCTGTTGCTGGTGGCTGCGGATGTCACTAACACTGGAAGAATGGGTCTGGCCGCTCCCAGCAGCGTGGTTGCTGCTGGTTCCAGTGCTGCTAGTGCTTGCCGTCTGCAACACCAAGAGCGCCTGCTGGCTGTTGCACCCCGGAATATGTCTTGGGTTTGATGCGGAGTGGCAGATGCAGCAGCACGACGGAAGTGGCCTTGCTCCTTTGCATGAGCAGCAAATCCAGTCTACGCCTCCTGTAGCAGCAGCAAAGTCTGCTCTACTACTGCTGCAGCTGGGAGTGCTGCTATTGTTATATCGATTGTAAGAAGGATCTCCACATGTATGCGGAAGGTGGAGTAGCTGCTGCCCGACACTGGGGCTTGGAGACGGCGGCGCGCTACCCCTGACAGCAACGGCCAAAGCCAGCAGTGCCTGCCGCCGCAGCAACGGACCCTGGGTAGCCGCTCGCAGCCGCCGCAGCAACTCTTCTGCTGCTGCTGTGTAGTGCAGTAAATGAAGCTCCTGCTGTCCGAGGGTACAGACGTAACTCAGGGGCTCCTGCTGTTGCTCTATTTGCTGGCTTCCAGCCCATATTGAAGCTAAGCAGCCCACGCCAGCAAGGGCTGCAAAATTGTTGCTGCTGTTATTGTTGTTTGGAACGCTCGCTGCTGTTAAAGTTTGCAGCCACTGCAGGGCAAAAGCCACACGGCGCGGGATGTGCAGGTGCGGCTCGCGTTCTCTGGGAGCTTCCGCATTACACAAGTCCCCCAGTGAGGCTTGCACAACCTGCTGCAGCTGCTGCTGCAGTTGCTGCTGTAGTGGCTGCACCGGCCGCTGCGGTGGCACCTGCTGCAGTGGCGGCAGCGTTGATCCTGCTTCGCACAGCACGGTGGCTCCTTTGCCAGCTGCTGCGGCCTCCTGCATAGCCAACGTAGCGGCAGCAGCCGTCGCCCCCGCCAAGGCCGCTGGCGTAGTTGGAGCTACTCCAACAGCTGCAGTGGCGGTCGTTGAGCCAATGGCATCGAAGGGGGAACACACTACAGGGTGAGGAGACGCTATCTGGGGAACCTGATGAACCCATATATCGCCAACCGTGCCAAGATGGGCCATCTCTATGGGCATGCTGCTGCCTCTCCTGCTGCTGAGCCGGCTGCAACAGCTGCTGCTGCTGTCTCTACGCTGCAGCATGCCAGTAGGCACGCCTAGAGACTGTAGAAGACTCCGAGTTTTGGCCTTATATCGCTTCCGGCGTAGCGATAGCGGCGGGCTGCTCGCTTCACATGGGTTGCTGCTGCAGGAGTCCCAGTTGCGGTAGCTGCTACTGTCAGTACTACTGCTTTCAAGTCTCCTTCGGCTGCAGCCGCAGCTGCCTTTCGACGTGCAGCAGTTTCCCCCGGGGTGTGAGAGACACCCAGTAGCACAGGACCAACTATGTGCGCTGAGCCGGTCTCTTGAACAAGATAGAGCTCCTTCAATGTAACCATTGAAGTTGGAATTGCTGCTGCTGTCACCGCTGCAGCTACTGCTATTGCTGATACTACCATAGTTTCTCGCCGTCGTATTGGAACACCAACACAAGAAGCAGCGGCTGTCTTCCAGAAATTTCAAACGTGGGCGGGATCCGACAGTCGCTGGTTGCTGCTGCTGCTCTGACTCCTCTTCTTCTCGATTGTGGACTTCCCCATCCGTCCTTTTCTCAACAGCGGCCATATCTGGCAAAGCATCTATACCTTCCCAAGGCCACTTAGGGACGCCTGACAAGCCGCGACCAAAGGGGAGAGAAGAAACACATTTAGTGACCTCTGCTGCTGTCGAGGCTGCAGCAACAGCAGCGCAAGTCTCGATGAGTCGGCAGAGACCGGCAATGCGCTGCCCTAGCAGCCGTGCCGTTGCAGAGGCTGCCAAAGAACGATTGCCTGAGCATTCTTCCTGGCACTTCTCATCTTCTGTTGCCGCGGCGATTTCTGCTTCTTTCGGCGTTCCGTCTGCGACTGTTGCTGTTAAAAAGGAGTCTGGAGAAGTCTGAGCTGCAGTGCCCTGGCAAGAGACACTTCCGCGCCCGCTACGGGATGATTGACCTCCCGCAATCGGCTTAGTGCCGTTGCAGCAGGAAGAAGCAGCAGCAGGCGACACCGCCAACCCCGCAGCGACTGCAGCAGCAGCTGCTGCAGCCGCTGCTGATAAAGAAGCTTCTGGTCCAGCCGCAGAACAAGTGAGCGGCGACAGATGCGGCATTGAAGTGCAGCGGCAGCGGCGCGTGTCGGCGGCATTGCAGGCAGCGAGAGAGGAAACGCAGCGAAGTGGTGACAACCTCCTGCTGCTCCAAGTGCCCGAAACCGACGTGGGGACTAATGCATTGGCTGCTGCCGCTGCTGGGATCGGCAGGTGGAGCGGCAACAAGCTGCTGAAGAAACTGCTGCCGAGGGCTTCGCCCACAAGTAACCTCCAGGCAGGGTCAGGCTCCAAGAGCGCGACAACAAGCTCCAGCGTTTCTGCAGAAACCTCTTTCCACACAGGATGCGTGAACTTCAGCTTCCCGTGCAGTACCTGCAGCAGCAACAGCAGCCACACGAAAAGCAACTGCACAGCTTGCCCTAAATGATACCCTGGCACAAAAGGGCGCGAAGGTCTCAGGATACTTCAAGCACTCACAGAAGATGCCAGCAGCCACAGCAGCACAAGGAGCAACGGCAGAAGCAGCGGAACCTGATGCAGCACTGACATTGTAGGCAACAGTTGCATCGTCTGGGCCGTCAAAG